ACTCAATCTTTCTGCTATAATGTCTCTCTGTTACTATGGCTCTCTGGCTCTCTGTCTTTAAGGCAAGCAAGCAAAGCAAGGCAAACAAACAGTTCTATCTGCAGAGCACAAAAAGTACTTTGGCCAACTTTATGCCTACCCACACTAAGTTGGATTCAAGCTGATGGCGCTGGATGTCATAAGCCTAGAAAATATCCTGGTCATTGATGGCCAATGTTGAAATTTAAAACGCTTAAATTGAAGTAGAATTTCCAAAAAAGGCGAAACGTCTGACTTCCATATATCATTTTTAAGTCAAACGTCTACCTCCCACACCTAAAAGGAAAAATTAAACATAAATAATTCGAATAAGCTTAGATATCAGACCCAGAGGAACCACAAACATGAAACGTGCACGGACCAAGAGGAACTAAAAACAGGAAACGTGAAGTATGTCCTTCAGGGACGACGATCTTTCAATGAAAGTGCGCGGGAAAGTTCGAGCGCCTAGCCTGCCTGTTACGACAGCATGATGTGGAGTTAGGAACACCTCGAGCATTCTAGACTGATCTTCTTTAACTTAGAATGATCTACTTTAACTCTGCTGCCTTTTCCATCGAGTAATTATCTATGCAATGTATCTGGTGGCGCACCCAGAGCAAATGCACGCAGGAAAAGTTGTGTATCGAATAAATTGCCATTGATGCCAAGGGGTAGACTACATAGGCGAGACAAAACGCCATTTCACATTACGTTTCAACAAGCATCATCCCGGCGCAATGAACAAAGCCAGACATGCCTTTTAGGGAGCATTCCCAACGAAGTCGCCCCGACGTAATTATCACGAGAACCTGCCTCTTTATGGCAACTTTTTCTTAGATGCAAGTGATTGGCCAATTACAAAATCACTCATGCTAAGTGCATCTGAAACAGCAAGTCCATGCTGAATGCCCATACATTTCCATTGAATATTATCGCACCACCACCCTATGATCCCAGTGACATTACCAAGCGGTATATTGGGTGTTACCCTAGCCGTGAAAGTATTGAAAGGTGTTACACCGTGTGGTGGTTTTCCGTGTGGTGGATTTTACCGTGTGAAGTAAAAACCACCGTGTGGTGGTTTTTACTTCAGGTTTTCAAGTTTCGTGTATCATTTTTGAGCGCGCGAATTTTATCGTTTGAAACTGGGCCGTCCTTGGTGAATGATCGGACTTGGTAATGACCCAGGGCAGTAAGCCCGTCTCTAATAACTTCATGTTGTCTAGAACAAGGCTGTGGTGTTGATTAGGTTCTACACTACATTTGCGCACAACCTGCCTCAACAAGGGTCAGTTTCTCGGAAAAAACAAAGCAAAGCACAATCTCACGCCAAATATTAATGCTTTCTATTCTTAAAACCACGCCTTGAGCCAGTTTCCAAAGGCGTCAACTGACCTTTGTTGTAGCTTGTACATTTTGGCGCGGCGTAGATTTGTGGGTCTCGTTTACATGAAAACGACTACCAAACTATAAGTAATACTGCCAGCCATGAACACGTTCCTAACACGTGCCTAACGTGCCTCATGTTTTAAGCTGGTATTACCTCAAAGCTTCCTGCAATGATCAACGTTATATATATATATATATATATATATATATATATATATATATATATATGAAATAGGTTCCCGCACAATAATTTTTTTGTGGGTTAACTGCCGCCTTACTGAGATTGAGGATTGCTGCTGGATCGGTCAGACATGTTTTTAGATCCCGATTGAAATGTTCATCTCGGCGTATCTTTGTTCAGCGAACGGCATCAAAGCTCGTAAAAATTATTTGAACGCTAGTAATAATGTTGTGTGTTGTATAGGATGCGTAAAAACCAAAGTTTTGGCGGTTGCAGCTACATAATTTTAGTTTTTGGCTAATTTGCTGCCACTCCTTTTCAAGATACTTATGCTATGTGCGCGGTTTTGTGTGATGAAGGACGTAACTTTTTCTGAAGAGCTCTTGTTTGGGCAGGCTCAAATGAGCATTGCTACCATTATTAACGAGCTACCACGCTCCATGCTTAAAAGATCGATATTGGCAATATAGAGCGGTATATCAATGGTAAAATCGGTCGATTTTGTGTGCCAAATATGACATATGTGTCAAAGCTCAAAACCAGTCACTTCCAGGAGACGCGACCTCCGAACTTAACAAATGAATGTCACGTTAGCAAATCTCGGCCTGCTGACCTCTAAGGAAAGCCGACCTTTTCAACATAGGATAGCACGTCATCGCTCCACTGTGGTCACCTCCGCTGTCCAAGGGAAATATGCCGGAGTCAAAATCCAGCGGCACGGAGTACGAGAGACCGTGTTGCCCTGGTGCGGCCCGACTGATGCGGAAGGTCGGCTGGCAGCTGCCTTGAGAGTATGTGGGACGTAACCGGCACCCAGTGGTGGCAAGAACCAATTGCATGAACATGGTGGAGAGGATTTTGTGGACCACTGCTGCAATGTGTAATCGAAAGGCCCGTTCTATTGCATAGACCGCAGACAATATTTACCCCTCGTACTCGCTCCATGACGAACAGCCACCGACAGAAACCGCAGACGCAATGAATTCCATGTCACAACGGGGCTGTGCAATTATATATTACGACGGTACTGTCATATTGCATGATACTACGGTGTTGTCAGGTTAGATACGACAACGGTGCTGAAATATTACGGCGTGCAGGCGATTAGGCACAGCTGCGGTATTTCAAGCTATGCTGTTATTTTACATGCTGACAAATTGTTTGCCACCAAGCATATGTAGAATGATCTGTGGGACGATTGGCCCTCTTACCATAGAGTCCCGCTAACCTGCTGGTTCTCCCAAGGAAATTAGCTGGTGTAGCGTGGAGAGCCGTCCTACAGCACAAACAAAATTTGTGACAGCAGCTCGTGATTTTTTCTCACAAATGACAGCAACCCAAAATTTCGCGGAATTTCCACTCGGAAATTGGAAATATGTGATGCCACTGGCGACCTAAGTAACTACAAAACGCATTTTGTGAGCAGTAAGATCTAAGGACACCGATAAGACCGGGCCAGCGGAATCGGTAAACCCGTTCCACAGATAGCGTAACATGGAGCAAGTATGACGCCGGTAACTCTCATGTGGGCATAAAAATATCCCAGACAGCGCTCCAGTCGGTCATACCGAAGCAGCAGCGCTGCTCCGGTCAGAAACCGCTGCAATTTATTTCAATCGCGTCTCGGTCAAAAGCAGCCATTCCGCCATTGATTTACACAAGGATTGCACCGCTAATGGAAGCGGTAAACAATGGAGACGGATGATGCGAACGGTAGCGGGCAGCCTGTTTGCGTGCTCAGTTTGATCCGCCTGCTTAATGACGACGATCAATCACTGAGCGTGGGGCGTCGAAGCAAGCGGTCTGCTGTTTTTCGCCGAGTTTTCCCAAGGCGTTGTGGGGAACCGGGGTCACCTCTGCGAAGGAGACTGGATGATAGCGAGAGTTGCCATTGCTACGCACCGGCGTGATTTACAGTCCTGTAGCATATATGAGATGCTGTCCGTAGAGTTAGTGTACAGCTCTATCTATCACTGTCTGCGATGCTGTCCGTGGCGTTAGCATCGAGCAAATTCAACTGATCACCGTCGGCGATGCTGTCCGAAGAGTTAGCGTCCAGCTCAACTTATCACCTCCTGCGAGGCTTCCCGCAGAGTTAGTGTCCAGCTCAACTGATCGCCGTCTGCGATGATGTCTGCAGAGTTAGTGCCCAGCTCTACTGATCACCGTCGGCGGTGCTGTCCGCAGATGTGCCATGTGTCTATGGAGACAGTGTCCAGCTCAACCGATCACCGTCTGCGATGTTGTCCACAGAGTTAGTGTCCAGCTCTACTCATCACCGTCTTCGATGCTGTCCGCAGATGTGCCATGCGTCTGTGGAGCCAGGGCCCAGCTCAACTGACCACTGTGCTCAAAGCAATGCTGGATTCCGCCGCTCAGACCACGGCGCTCTGAACCTCCCTGACCTCACGTGCGCAACCACCACTGCAGCCGGCGGGGTCTGGCATCCGGTAAGTATTTTGACCATCTAAAGTGACACTCAGTCGGCTGGCCGATCGCCGCCGATCGTCGCGGTGCGCCATGAGGGCTAGCCACAAACAACTGCTTAAACAACTAGATCATTCGGCAGCAGGCATGTGCCTTAGGCCCATAAGAAGACTCTAGGATATAATGTCATGATCCTATAAAGATGAAACCCTATGAAATCCCGGGTCCGCTCTTGTGACCCAGGAACATGTCTGCCAAGCAGACAGGGCAACTGGAAGTGACGAGAGCCGGGACGAGCATCAGAAACCGTGGGCTGCGTCACAAAACTGAGAACTGGTTGAACCGCCAGCCAGCCGCGAGGGACAAGCCAAGGTAGGTGTTGCGGTTTATGGCATGTCTTATTCACCATCGTTCCCGGAATGATCAGCTGAGTTGAGTGTCTCTTACTGTGGGAGTTTGTGACTTGTGATCCCGTTCAATCGGAATCGATTGGTCTATTTGGCGTCTTGATCCGGTCTGTTGGTCCGGTCCGTTGGTCCGGTCTGTTAGTCCGGCCTGTTGGTCCGGTCTGTTGGTCTGGTCTGTTGGTGCGGACTGTTGGTCAGATCTGTTGGCTCGGTCTATTGGTCCGGTCTGTTGGTCAGGCCTGTTGGTCTGGTCTGTTTATGCGCTATATTGGTCTGGTCTGTTGGTCCGGTCTGTGGGGTCCGGTCTGTTTATGCGCTCTATTGGTCGGTCTGTAGGTCCGGCCTGTTGGTCAGCTCTGTTGGCTCGGTCTATTGGTTCGGTCTGTTGGTCAGGCCTGTTGGTCTGGTCTGTTTATGCGCTCTGTTGGTCCGGTCTGTTGCTCTGGTCTGTTGGTCCGGCCAGGGCACCCACCGCAGCGCAGCAGCAAGCGCAGTGACGCGGAGCCGGATGGACGGCGGCGGCGGTGTCGGCGGTTCCGGGCGCGCGCTGCAGATAGCGCCGGCATGACGCCCTCCCCGCTCCGACCTCCGTCGGACCCCAGTTCCAGACGAGTGCAGTGACTGACCAGACCCCGCCACCCAGGCATGACCACAATGTCAGGTGAGAACAGAACGCGCGCCAAACTGACCGCTTAGCACAGTCCGTTTGGCGCGCGTCGCATCTGAATGGGGGACCTTGCCATGCGTGATAATTCAAGAGCAAGGGAATATTAGAGACATGCCTGCAGCTGCTTTAGATGGGAGCGGCATATGATGCCAAACGCCCTGGCGTCAACGGCTGCCGGTTATTCCGCTAACTTCATGTGTGCAGAGGTAAAAAAAGACATAACGCTGCATATAAAGAAATTCCTGCATGCGTATAGAAGCCATACTTCTTTCCTTAGAAGCCGTCTTACTTTCGGCTGGAAGCGTAGAGTGGTCCACGGCCACGCTCGACAGTGAAAAGCTTCTTGGTCTTCGCTGATGTGTTCCTGCCCGGTTGACCCGCCGGGACGCGCCGGCAGATGTCGGGCCGCGCCCGGCGCCGTGCGGCCCGTTGCCTGAGGTGCCGGTCCACCGACCGGCCAGGGGTACCAGGGCCTTGTAAAGCTATCATTGGCTAGCGGGCGGCGAGAGAGGTTTTGTTACGTGTGTGTCTAAGGGTACAGTCGCCCTCATCGACTCTGTCGGAGTACACGTCCGCTCGACTGGAGTCCCTCGAGAGCACAGCATTGTGCAGCCGATAGGATGGAACGATGGCGCTAGCTGCTCCGAGCACCTCCTAGCTGCTGTTCGGAGCACCTCCTAGCTGCTCTTCGGAGCACCTCCTAGCTAGCTGTTCAGAGCACCTCCTAGCTGCTGTTCGGAGCACCTCCTAGCTGTTGTTCGGAGCACCTCCTAGCTGCTGTTCGGAGCACATCCAAGCTGCTGTTCGGAGCACCTCCTAGCTGCTGTTCGGAGCACCCCTTAGCTAGCTGTTCGGAGCACCCCCCAGTTAGCTGTTCGGAGCACCTTCTAGCTAGCTGTTTGGAGCACCTCCTAGCTGGCTGTTCAGTGCACCTCCTAGCCGCTGTTCGGAGCACCTCCTAGCTGCTGTTCGGAGCACCCCTTAGGTGCTCTTCGGAGCACCTCCTAGCTAGCTGTTCGGAGCACCTCCTAGCTGCTGTTCGGAGCACCTCCTAGCTGCTGTTCGGAGCACATCCAAGCTGCTGTTCGGAGCACCTCCTAGCTGCTGTTCGGAGCACCCCTTAGCTAGCGTTCGGAGCCCTTCCTAGCTATCTGTTCAGCGCACCTCCCAGCTAGCTGTTCAGAGCACCTCCTAGCTGGCTGTTTGGAGCACCTCCTAGCTAGCTGTTCAGAGCACCTCCTAGCCAGCTGTTCGGAGCACCTCGTAGCTAGCTGTTCAGAGCACCTCCTAGCTAGCTGTTCAGAGCACCTCCTTACTAGCTGCTCGGAGCGCCTCCAGCTACAACCCACCAGCACGCAGTACCTCAGTGCGTGGATGCTGCGGTGGGTCGACCCACATATACTACAAGCTGTGTCCAGCTTTTGGCAAGGTCTGCAACAACTGTGGCGTCAAGGGTCACTACAGCAACATGTGTCGCAAGAAGTTCGAGACGCCCAGTTCGAGGTTCGGAGGCCCATCTTCTCCTGCGCTCGCGCCCCGAGCAGTGACACCCATCTGTGTCAGGTGCTCCACTCTGCGCACGTCTCGGCAGCCCGTCCTCACCCTCGAGCGCCTTTACTCCCGGTGATCCCGGGGACCCAGTTCAGGCAAGCAAAACAAGATGTCCAAGTGATTCGCGATAGCGGCATCTTGGGACCAGTCATTCTGCACAATATTGGCATGCGAGAACATCAGCTCACATTTTCGGCACCGCGAGACGTGGTAGCTGCAAACGGTCAACCCATGTTACGCGTCGGCTCCTTCCGTGGCAGATCACTCTCCAGCACAGGTCAACTCACGAGACAGTCCACGTCTGCCGTGATGCTCGGGGCATGCTCCTCTCCTGGTACGCATCCAACAGTACGGGTATTTTGCCTGATCCTTACCCTCAGCCCTGTCCGCCGTATCCCATGGAAGAACGGACAATAGAGGCATGAGCATCTAAACAACGTGGAACGAGCCTGCTGTTGGTATCCGTAGCCGATCAAACGTCTCTTCGCGACAAAGCAAGAATGTGAAGGGACCTCGTGGAAGAGTTCGCTGATGTGTTCTCCGAATATGGTTCCGTTCAGGCTGTGGTTGGTGAGCCCATGAAGATTCATCTGTAGCAGCAAGTGCAGCCCTTGCCATCGGGGATGCAAGAAGCATCCCTTTCGCCGGGATGCCACAAGCCAAGAAAGGCTTGACAGTGTGGTTCAGATGGGCCTTATCGAAGCGGTTGGTGATGAGCCATCAGAATGGTGCCAGCCACTGGCGATCGTTCCCAAAGGGCCGGGAGATCCTCGTGTCTGTGTCGACTTCACCAAGCTGAACCCCTTCGTCGAGCGACCACTCGTCACACCGAAGGATACAGCGTCAGCAATACCTCCTGAGTGCCGTTTTTCACGTCCGCTAAGCGGCGTCGGATTTCTAGCAACTCCCGTTGGACGCAGACGTCGGCATCTCACTACTTTCATCAACCCATGAGATCGCTTTTGTTTTCTCAGGGGGCCCATGGGCCTCGTTTCAACCGGGGACGAGTTCTGTCGCAGGGGAGACATCGCTGTCGAAGGTTAAAACGGCATCATTTAGATGGTTGACGACATGCTGGTCTTCGAAGAGAATTTTGAAGCTCACATGAAGTAGGTCCGAGCCCTTCTGCAGCACTGCCGGGAGCACGAGATCACCTTGAAGATGGAGAAGTTCGTCTTCGCAGAAGCAGGAAAAGACTACTGCAGGCATCAAGTAACCCAGCGAGGCGTCAAAGCAAACCAATCCAATGTGAGAGCTATCGCTTGTTTCCCAGCGACCTCCAACATCACTGAATTGCTTTTCTTCGTGGGAATAGTTCAGCAGCTGTCGGATTTCAGCTATGACATCGCGTTTACTGCATAGCCTCTGCGGGATCTATTGAAGGCGAAATAATTCTTTCAGACACCAGAGCGCGATGCCGCCTACAACGTCGTGAAGCCAGCGATGTCTTCAACGCCAGCACCGGTCCAATTCAACCAAACACTGCTAACCGTGTTACAGACCGATGTTGCTCGCCTCAGTGGACTAGGCTTCGCACTACTACAGCAACATAAAGACTGCTGGCGAATTGTCAAGTGAAGATATCGGTTTCTTACGAACACAGAGACTCGATGCTCCATCATCGAACTGGAACTGTTGGCTGCAGTGTGGAAACTATCCAAGTGCCATATATACGTTCCCGGCCTGTCTGGTTTCATTTTTACATTTACAGGATAACAAGCCCTTTGTGCTGAACCTGAGCTGCTACACCCTCGACGCGGTGGAGAATCCTCGACCCCATTGGCTCAAGAGGAAGATGTCGCTGTTCACTTTCACAGCGTTGTGGAGGAAAGGGAAGGAACGCGCTAACCCGGGCGCTCTATCTAGAGCACCTGTGAATGATCCCACAGCGGAAGATGCCGCACTGATGCACCAAGCGGAACTACACGCACGTCATGTGACGGGCACGCTGTTCTCCGGTGACGAAGAGGTGCCAGAGCATGTCAAGGACGTTCGATTGGAGGACCTCACCAGAATATCATCTAGCGACGCTGATGATGTCATCAGATGATATCATCAGATGATATCATCAGAATATCGTCACCAACGGCTGCTCTGTCACGTCAAGGAGCTGGCCGTCATCCAAGCAACGTCTGGAGATCGATCTGCAGCCCCACTGGGCGATCTGCGGAGACCTCTCTGCCGTGGACAGCCTTGTGCCGGAAGGCCCCAGGATCATCGTGCCGCTTGCTGCTTGACTTCAAACTCTTGGCAGCCTCCACGCGGCTCGTGAAGGAACTGAGCGAATGAAGTGATGCACCAAGCAGACTGTCTGGTGGCCAGACCTAGATTCAGACATCGAGAAGTTGGTCGACAGCTGCGAGGTTCGCTGGCTGCACCGCCCGAGGCAAGTCAAGGAGCCGCTGATGACCGGCTCTCCATCTCCTCGCATCTTTGAGGACGTTTCGGCAGACCTGCTCTCTCACGCTGGCCGTCATTTTCTAGTTTGCGTGGCAGACTCTCAGGATGATCAATCGTTTTTGTCCTTCCCGGAGGAGACACTCGAGCCGGCCGGCTGAAGCCGTGAGAAAAGCATTCGTCGATTTCGGCGTTCCAGTCCGTTTCCGCTCCGATGGTGGTGCTCAGTTGCCTAGCCATGACTTCAGGAGCTTCCGCAACGTTTGGAAGTGAGGCTGCAACAACCAACGCCCCATTACACGCAGTCAAATGGACACGCTGAAGCTGCAGTCACGACCATCAAGGCGCTCATCTAAAACACGTGCCAAAGTGGAGAGCTCAACATTGATGTTTTCGATGAAGACCTTCTGAAGCTTCGGAACACAACCGGGCTGATGGCCGCTCCCTGCCTAAGGTCGTTTACGTCATCGTTTACGTCAGGTCATTTAAGTTTACGTCATCATCTTATCTACCACGTTCCTGTAGGTCACCATGCTTTCTCCCGTGGGCGGCAGACCGCTGCAGCTGTGATTCCAAAGCAGCAGCACCGAAGACCACAGCTGATGAACAATACAAAAGGACTGCCGTATCTCTGCCACCTCTGAAGGTCGGTACAGAGATTCACGTACAAGATCTCCATAACAAGCTGTGGGATAGCGTAGCAACAGTCATCGGGGGTGGTCGCAAACGTGACTACAGCATCAAGATGTCCAGCGGAAATTCTCTTGAGAAATCGTCGTTTTCTCCGCCCGATTCTGCAGAGACCTGATCAAGCCCAACAACGGCCGACTCCTCCACCTTGCCGACCTGCCCCCTTTCCCCCCCTCCCTCCCCAAGGGCGGCGTTAGGCGCAGTAAATGCAGCAGGCGGCGACCAGACCACCTCCAGCTGTAACGGCCTCATCAATTTGGTAGCCGCGGAGGGAGGTCGACGTGTTCCTGCAGGCTGGCCTGCCGGTAGGCGCCGGCAGCCCCCAGGCCGGGACTCGGTGCCGTGAGGCCTGTTGTCTGAGGTGCCGGTCGGTCGACCGCACCAGGGGTACCAGGACTGTGTAAAACTTTGCTATTGCCTAGTGAGTGGTGAGTTACGTTGTTAGCGAGTGGGGAGTATGTCGTAGTGGTGAGTTATGTTGTTCGGAGTTATGTTGCGTGTGTCTAACTGTAAGGGCGCAGTTGCCCTCATCGACTCTGTGGGAATACACCTCTACTCAACTGATATCTCTCGAGGGCACAACAACCGCCGCGACGAAGGTCACAAAGCTGAGGTTTTGGTGATAGTTCAGCCAAATTCCTACATAACAGATATCTTCAAGTCGGGAGATGCAAAGAAACGCGATTTTTGAGCGTGCAGGTCATTCTGGCCTTCGCTTTCTTACCATACTGGATGCTTTGAACAAGTGGTTCTGGGGTATTTCGCCATGATCTTTTGTTGGGGGCGGGGGGGGGGGGAACGAAACGTGATCCCATTTCAGCTTCGCATGTCTTTATTATTACAAGGTGAAAATAAATCCGTTTCCTAAAAGATGTCCACTGGTAGACCCCGCGTTCGACAACTCCACTCAATGATGTCCATGCTACGTGTGACCTCCGAACGGTGCCGTTCAGGCGCGCCATCAGCGAATCAGCTGCCTCCGCTGATCCTGCTGCTGCTGCTGACAACCGTGATTGGACAGAATAGGATCAGAATTGAAAACCAAACGATAACCGGCCTTGGACGGGGCATGTTCGACATCCAACAGGTGAGAGGCTTGCGTCTTTACTCCAACATCAAACTGATATGCTTTTCGTGCACTGAGTTGACTATCAACCGCTCATCGTGCTGCCGGCTTTAGCTCACACATACAGCATGGTCTACAGCATGCCGTTAAAATTGGTGGCACTTGGATGCAACTTGCAACTAGAGCTGAGCAGTATATTTGCTTCGGTTTTGTCACATCTGTATGTTCCATTGGGAGCCATGATTACTGCCGGGTCACCAGCTGTGTTACTGACCATTTCCAGGCCATCTGGATTCAGATTATCAACAGCGACATTCAAGTTGTCGAGGAGGACACGTTTCTGTCCCGCCCGGGCGTGAACGACGCGACTCTGGAAGTCTTAAACACCACCGTACGCCACTGGAAAGCGAATGACATGAGTTCATTCTCAAAAGTGTATCTCCGCGGGACCACAATCTCAGAACTGCACGCGAAGGGCATGCACAGAACACAAAGCGAAGGGGGCGGGGGATATCCCGCCATGGAGGTCGAGTTTGACGCCATTACAGTCGGCAAGTTGCACAGCAATGCAATAAATCTTGGTGACGTAAATGGCTCGCTCAGCATGCAAAGCTGTATAATCGAAAATATGTACCCCAATGCACTGCGTGCGCCTGCTTCGCTCAAGCTGTATGTACATGGAAACACTTTCGACACCATAAGCACTGGAGCTTTCGCAAACGTTTGCAGTTGTTGGCTATGGTTTATCGAGAACACAATGTCCAATGTAGCGCCCCGATCGTTGTACTTCGGCTCTGCCACTTGCCAGCATCAGTGCTACCGAAATCGGCCCTCAGCCGCCTTAAACACAATCAAGAAAAACGTGCTGACTTGCGGACCACAGCTGGACTGGCTGCGCGCAACCAGCCACGACTCGCTCACAGAGCCCACACAAGCAGAATCATACCAAACCTTTCGTAACACCTCCTTCTGCGCGGGAGCCGCGCCTCGGACACCGGTGTGGCAGTACCTGCAAACATCCAGTGGTGAGGAGCCAGGGCTGGAGAGCACACAGGAAAACGGCGGCGGCCCGCCCTGGTCTCTCCTGGTGGCCGTCGCTGCTGGGAGTGCCGCCGCTACCGCCGCGGTCACTGTCGTCGTCACCCGGCTGTGCATCAGACGCAAGCAGCGAAGGCATCTAGCTCAGGTGGAGAATCTGCGAGTGGTGGCAGCCGGCCTCGACAGACACGACGCGGAGCGCGGCGTCAAGCAGCACCCCGCGCAGCCAGATCTGCAGGAGGCTGAAACCGGAGGAGGCAACCTGTATGCTAGCCTGGATGGGTGAGTGGACGAACAGTGTCGGCCTACCACGAGCCATCGGCGGAGTTGTCAAATGCCGCCAGTCGTCCGTGCCGACCGTAGGTCGCTGCGCAGTGCTCCTTAAACCCGCCGCTGCTCAGTAACCGGAAAAGTTGTAGTCACGTTTTGGTTGTCACTAAGTACGTGCAAAGAATGCCCAAGGGACCACCAAAAATTTGGGAGCGACTGCACGACATGCTGGAGAGATATTCTCAACAAAGCCGGCGTGGTAGTCGCATTCCGCCTATCAGGTATGGTTATTGAAATCTCTTTCATGAAATCTGGAGGAGGTGTTCAATGTTCGCCTTTTTAGCGCAATTCGCGGGACCTGTGGCGTCAATAACCACGCGCCAGATACGAACGGGCCATTTCGTGAGCTTGGTTGATCAGAGTCACCGATTCCCATTTAACTTTTACGTCGATCCGACGGCTAGATCTGACTTACCAGATTATATGAACACCGCTGGCAGTCACAGACGTCGAAGTCCCCTTAGCGGTAGCGAATTAATGCCTTCTCAAACTATGTTTGAAAAAAAAAATATACTTTACAGCAGCGGTATTCATATGCAAATGCCCATTTCTGTTTTGACAGGCGTCTCGACCGACGTTTTAAAGACCTGACGGATGTCCGATTCAGCGGAGTCTGCTCGAACCTGTACGCCGACCCCTGCGGGCAACATGCGGGCCTGTACGCGATGCCCTGCACGCAGCACCAGTATGAAAACGTGCAAAACATCGCCGCTCGTCAACCTCAAGCCGAGAGCGGTCCGAGTGCTGCGGAGGAGCAGCATCAGTACGTCAACCTGGACGACCTTGACCTGGCCCAGGAAGGTCGTGGCTAGTCGGTGTGCTCGGTGCTGACGGTGCTGGCGGCACTCAGCTCAACGGAATCATCCGGCGTGTTTGACCGCTGTGATATGTGAGCGTGGTCGGTTGTTTCGATTGTGTGCAAGAGGACGTAGTAAAGCGGGGCAGTGGCAAAGTGGAGAAAAGCTTGACACGAATAATGCCATTTTCAGTGTCACGCTTGCGGAAGCTAATGCTCAGGAGAAAGTTATTGAAGTTCGCACTAGTACCTTGACTTGTCTGTAATGACGACTGTGCGTTAGGACGTGTCCACATGGAAAGGATTTCCTGAGGCGGAACGGGAACCGGCGGGCGCGAGTGACTGTACCCAACGAGCTCAGCGAACGCTCGAACGACATCGCATCATGCGTTTTGGTTGATGTTATTGCCAAGCTCCGTGTGTGCGTGTGTGCGCATTTGCGAGTGCGCATGCGAGTGAGCACGTTTGTTAAACTGCACGCGTATCCAGAATAGCCACATTGTGCAGGTTATACGAATACATGATTGGTTAATTGGGTCATAGAATTTGTGTGTCTTGAAACGTGGTAGACTGGTAGCACTAGTAGACAGAAAGCTGCATGGTTTCATGGCGTGCTTTCGGTTTCCCACCGTTATCCAACTCCCCCCCCTCCCCGTTCTTTAAATGAGTTAATGCTTTGATGTTTTCGCACTGATGAAAGCTGCTGGCTGATGTATTTACGATAAAACAACAGAATATCTGAAATGCCAGTCATTTTTCATTCACCGTCAACTTTAAGGAAAATCTTTGGGGGCACACGAAATCAAAGTCGCTCGTCGGGGTAGTGGGATAAAACACCAATGAGAAAATGGTAGTGAGATAAATATGTAAAAAAACAGATAAATAAAAGGTTGATGAGCCTCAATTGCGAGAGTAGTGTTGGTAATGGAGACAAAACAAAATAAGCATTCGAAAATTGAAGTAAAATGTTTTGGTTTTCCGTCGGTGCGGGAAACCTCTCGCACCGTTTTCAAGGAAGACCATGAAAGACGAAGCAACGTAGCGTTTGTATAATTTCCACAGTTCTCGGACAGCTTAGTAACAATTTATTCATGTCGTGTCGCAGCCAAGCAGTACTATAAATCATTGTACATTGAAACAAACCCTATACAAAAACAATTATTGAAGGATGTATCATGAAAGGTTAACATGAACATATTACACAAAACGAATTACCTGACATACCAATATATCGTTCTTCATTGTCCAGAGCGAACATAGAAAAGACACGCAACATTCTAACGCTTCACTTGAGAAGCAATGCGGAAGGTGTTGCTAACTGACTGCAACAGCAAACAGCTGTGAGTCAAAGCAGGTACAACTAGGAAGCCCGGGCGATGCGTTTTACTGGGAGTAATTTTGCGAATCTGCGCCACACACGTGCTCTAGAGTTTGAAACACTACCTTATCTAAGTCGTTTTCAACAGCATGAAAATGATATACTTAGTAGCAATTCGGTACTGCTCACAGCCAGACGCATCTCAAATTGCACTGGAAGAACTCAGTATGACATATGTTCCAGTAAACCGTGTATGGGTCTCAGTTTCTAGAATCACTCAAAGTGCAGCCTGTCTGGATGAATGATGGTCGGAGATCATTTACCCAAACAGGTGAATTGTTCTTATTTTTCCATCAGATGGAGGAAAAAGAGCAATCAATACAAAAATCAAAGGAGCCGTCAATCTTCCAGAAACATGCGTAAGTCATGTGCATTGACATGATTGAGAGTAAACCTTTGAAAGTCGGATGAATAAAAAAACATATTGCTATAACTCGTTCTTGCACTTGCAGAAATCAGCGATTTTTGGAGGACTTGGCTGCCCGGTATTTAGTCACATAGTTCGCAACCAACTATTTGTCGGCTTGGCCAACTTTTGAACTTGCTTGAATGTGACGTTACTAGCTATGATCATCTCTTGGCCCTAACACACTGTCATCGTATTGTACGAATAAATATTGTTCAGCCATCTCCTCGTTTTGTGACCAAAATGGTCCATGAGATGCTGAAATACCTCCGACAAGCTATCTTGTGGTGTTTCCTTCCAGAAAACTCAACATGAAAAGTGGGTGCAAGCAAGAAGCTTAATATCAAAAATAGACCTACATATGTTCACAGTAGTGTAAACAAGAACGTCGAATTTTGACATATAACCATCTCGGGCTAGTGGCAACAGCACAGCTGAGGAACCGAAGTGCTTCAGTGAACCAAAGTGCCTGAAAGTGTTAGGTGAGAGACTCAGTGGTTAAAGCCGTTTGGTCAATGTTCAAGGACTTACCTTTAACTCCATCACTTGGAATTTCATGGCTTTGCTTTCTGCTATGAGTGGCGATGATGGTGGACTGAAAGAAGTGATTAGTTCAAGTATCGACAAATAACCAATTATTGCGGGGCAGAGAAGCAAATTAAGTCGTCTTTGAAAAAAGAATAACAGACTCAGCCATTTCAGTCTGCACTTTTAAAGCTTCAGTCGCCGCTGTTCACACCACCATACCGCTTGATTGCACCCTTGCTCTGAGGAAGGTCTTCAGGATGTGAAACAAGCTATCATTTGGCAATGCACTGCCGTCCAATCGTGTCAAGTTCTCAACAGAGAGTGGAGAAAAATGTTCACAGGCCAGGGACTGAAAAGAGCGGGCGAACATGCAAACCAGCGTGGTCGAGGCCGGCAAGAGCGGTACACGTGAGACGGGAGCGTGTCAATCGCGATGAACGAGCAGTGTGACCGCGGCGTTACGGCGCCCCTGACATTCACGACTGACTGAAAAGGAAAATGCTGTTGAAATTTGCCGTGGCGTAGCCCGGCGGGTCGTCAATGAATCCATCGTGCTCTGTTCTCTGTCGACACCACATTCTTTGTGTTTGTGGAGAGAGAAAAAGAATGATGAACATGGTCGTAGGCAGCGATTGTTAGAAACGGTATATGCCAAGGAGACGCGCAGATTTTTTGGTTCTAGAAAGGGAGAGAGAGGGAGAGAGGAGAGAGAGAGAGAGAGAGAGAGAGAGAGAGAGAGAGAGAGAGAGAGAGAGAGAGAGAGAGAAGAGAGAGAGAGAGAGAGAGAGAGAGAGAGGAGAGAGAGAGAGAGATAGAGAGAAGGGAGAGAGAAAGAGAGGAGAGAGAAGAGAGAGAAAAAGAGAAGAGGGAGAGAAAGAAAGAGAAAAAAGAGAAAAAAGAAAGAGAAGAGAGAAAAGAGAGAGAGAGGAAAAGAAAGAGAGAGGTTAGATAGAGAGGAAAGGGAGCGAGAGAGAAAAGAGAGAGAGGAAGAGAAAGAGAGAGAGCGGAGAGGAGAAAGAGAGAGCGAGAGAGGAAGAGAAAGAGCGAGGAGTGGAGAGAGAAAG